GGCTGTTCTGCCAGTGGGTGTTTGCACCTGTGTGTGTGTGTGGTATGTCTATTCCCTTTTTATTTTATTTTTTTAATTAATTAAGTTTTTGCTGTGTTGGGTCTTCCTTGCTGCATACGGGCTTTCTCTAGTTGCAGTGAGCAGGGGCTACTCTTCGTTGCAGTGCGCGGGCTTCTCATTGTGGCGGCTTCTTGTTGCGGAGCGTGGGCTCTAGGTGTGCAGGCTTCAGTAGTTGTTGCACGTGGACTCAGTAGTTGTGGTTCGTGGGCTCTAGAGCACAGGCTCAGTAGTTGTGGCGCACGGACTTAGTTGCTCCGAGGCATGTGGGATCTTCCCAGACCAGGGCTCGAGCAACCCGTGTCCCTTGCATTGGCAGGTGGATTCTTAATCACTTTGCTGCCAGGGAAGCCCTCTATTTCCTTCTTATCCACTGTTTCACTTTCCATGCTTTCAGTTATCCACAGTCCACCCAAGTCCAAAAATGTTAAATGGAAAATTCCAGAAATAAACAATTCATAAGTTTTAAAATGTGCATTCTAGTATCGTGATGAAATCTCCGGGTGTCGCACTGCATCTCGCCTGGGATGTGAACCATCCCTTTGTCCGGTGTGTACCACCCATTTGTCACTGAGTAGCCCTCTCTGTTATCAGATGGACTGTCCCAGCATGTCAGTGCTTGTGTTCAAAGTGACCCTTATTTTACTTAATAATGGCCTCAAGGCAGAAGAGGAGTGATGTGCCAAAGAGAAGACCTCAAGTGCTTCTTTTAAATGAAAAGCTAGGGCTTCCCTGGTGGCGCAGTGGTTAAGAATCTGCCTGCCAATGCTGGGGACACGGGTTCTAGCCCTGGGCGGGGAAGATCCCACATGCTGCAGAGCAGCTAAGCCTGTGCACGCTACAGCTACTGAGCCTGTGCTCTAGAGCCGGTGAGCCACAACTACTGAAGTCCGCATACTTAGAGCCTGTGCTCCACAACAAGAGAAGCCACCGCAATGCGAAGCCTGTGTAAGGCAACGAAGAGTAGCCCCCGCTCTCTGCAACTAGAGAAAGCCCGCACACAGCAACAAAGAGCCAACACAGCCAAAAATTAATTTTTTTATAAAAGCTAAAAGTTCCAGACAATAAGGAAAGAAAAAAATCGTATGCTGAGGTTGCTAAGATCTATGGTAAGAACGAATCTTCTATCTGTGAAATTGTGAAGAAGGAAAAAAATGCATGCTGCTTTGCTGTCACACTTCAAACTGCAAAAGTTACAGCCACAGTGCATGGTAACTGCTCTGGTATTGAGATGGAAAAGGTATCAAATTTGCACGGCAAGATATTTTGAAAGAGAGAGACCACATTCACATAGCTTTTATTACAGTACATTGTTATCGTTGTCTTATTAGTTATTGCTGTTACTCTCTTACTGTACCTAATTATAAATTAAATTTACTATAGGTGTGTTCATATGGGACAAAACAGCATGCTTTGGGTTCAGTACTGAGGTTTCAGGCATTCACTGGGGGTCTTGGAATATATCCCTCAGGATAAGAGGGGACTTCTATCTGTGCATGTCACACATGTGCTCTTGGATGGGACTCCCATGCCCTCCATTGTTCACACAGTTTCCCCATGTGTCAAGTGGGGAGTGAAGGAATAATGGATGTGCTGAGCCTACTGAGATACACAGGCAGGTGCAGCAAGTGGAGTAGTTCTCCGAATTTTTTAAAGGAAGACGCTCTGAGGTCTGCTTCCTGAGAAGTGTGGCATGTGGGCAGGGCTCTCTGCCGGCTCCCTGGTCCGCCCTGTCCGCTGCAGGAGCCACCTCCTTCCTCCAGGTCCAGAGTCTGACAAAGGTGCCTTTGACCCCAAGCCTACCGGTTACCCAAAGTCCCCAGCACGTTCCGGAGGCGCAGTTCCGGTCCGCGCCGGCAGGGGCGCCGGTCCCTAATTTTCTCCCAGGCTGTGCCGCGCTTTTCTAGGTGGATCTGAGGTGTCCGAAGTGGGCAGCCCGGAGGAGGGTCCGGCCTCGCCAGCTTGCGACCATGACCGCCACCTGCCACCCCTTCCCGAGTGGCCGAAGCCCCGGGTCTGCACCGCTAAGTGGTCGCGCCCAAGGGCATGGCGAGTCGGGGTTTACCACTTGGGATTTGGGACCCGCTGTCCAGACTTGCCTCAGGCTGCCGGGGTTCGGGGGGCGTCCTGCTGGGATCTGACAATTGGTAGTGTGAGACTTGGGCTTCCTCGGACCCCTACTTCATTTAGGAGGGGCGTCCCCGCCCCGTCAGGCCCAGGGCGCGCTCCCCTAGAGAGAACACTCGCGCACCTGAGGCTTTGTCCGCGGACTTTACTCAAACACGAGCCCCACGCGACCACCCTTAAAATTTAGTGACAGTTGGGGGCCAGCGCCGAGATCACGTGGCTCAGAAACTTGTTGAGCGAGGCCTGCAGGGAGGGGCTGAAGTCTCCGGGGTAGTGCCGGGCGAGGGTCACCAGCAGGCAGTGGACCAGCAGCTACGGAGAGGGAGTCGTTTCCACGCGGGTGCACCCCCCTTCCCTGACGGGAGCCCCCTCCCCCGGCGACAGGGATCAGGCCCCTCCGGCGAGCTCACCTGGAACTTGACGGGGTCCACGCGCAGCTTGTGCGCGTGCAGCTCACGCAGAGCCGACAGGGCGCTGGGCAGGTCGTCCAGGTGGTCCACGGCGAGGGTCAGCGCGTCGGCCACTTTCTGGCCGTGCGCTCTGACCTGGGCGGATCCGGGGCTCAGGTCCAGGTGGAGGAAGTAGGTCTTGGTGGAAGGGAAGGCCTGGAAGGTCCTGCGGGAGGAACGGCGAGTCAGGCTGGGGAGGAAGGAGGACGCTTTCCCGAACGGGCTGAAGGCAGGGGAGCCCGGGGCCTGTGCGCACCTCTCCAGGGCCTCGGTCGTGTAGACGCCAACGTTACTACCCAGCTTCAGCCACAGCGCGCGCACCGCAGTCCGGTCCGCCGCCCCCAGCACCATCGTGGAGCCCGCCCGGCCGCGCGCTCGGAGCCTTGATGAAGCCCGGGTTGCGCCTGCGCGTATCGGTCCGCGGTGCCCTTGGCCTCCTGGGTTCGCCGTGCCTCTGGTCGCAGAATCTGTCCCCAGGGGCCCGGAGCGCTCCACGGAGCGTCTGCTCCGACCTGGGGCCTTCCTAATCGCCCTGGACCCTGAGGCCCGTATTTTTGAAGGTTTACTCTATGGAAACTAATATTTAGTATGTATCATTAATATTAGGTTGCCCAGAATTGTAGCGTGGATTTTGGCATTGAACGTCAGCTTATTCTGCCTCCCTCCCGAGTCTATTATGACATCTTTCTGAGTCTATTTTCTCATTTATGGTATATAAGGAAGGTAACAATTTCTTCTTTCCAAGGTTGTGCCTGGTTCATAACAGACGCCCCTTTCTGACAATGAGCATTTATATTGGGTGCCTAGGATATATCCCAAAATAATAGCTAATACCTATGCAGCACTCATGCTGTGCCAGGCATCACTATACGTCCTTTTGTTTTTTAAATTGCGTTGAAATTCATGTAACAAAATTTACTGTCTTAGCTATTTTAAGGTGTACAATTCAGTGTCTTTAATTACATTCAGAGTGTGTGCAGCCATCACCACTGTCCAGTTCCAGAACGTTTTCATTGTCCCAAATAGAAATTATCCCCATTAGCCGTCAGTCCATAACCCCTGCCCTCCAGCCCCTGGCCATTACCAGTCTTTCTGTCTCTGTGCATTTGCGTATTCTGGACATTTCATGTGAATAGAATCATGCAATATATGGTCTTTTGTGTCTGGTTTTTTTCACTTAGCATGTTTCCGAGGTTTATCCATGTTGTATCATGTATTGACACTTCATTGCTTTTTATGGACGGATAACATTCCATTTTATGGATAGATAGATCACATTTTGTTTGTCCACTCATCTGTTGATGAACATCTGGGTTGTTTCCACTTTTAGCCCAGGCCCTCATTTTTCCTAATAGTAAAATAAGGAAGACTGCGTCTTACAGAGCTCATACTGTGCCACCAGCTGTGCTAAAAGCATGACACACTGAGTCAGGGAACCTGCCATCGCATTTTCTGAGGATGACACTTGGGCCCAGGGAAGAAAGGACACTGCTCTCAGTCGGGGGCTCAGGGCTGGATGACTACCAGGACTGGGGACTAGGGGCACTAGGGGCATTCTCCATGGGAAGGAAGCACATCGGAGTGCAGGCACCCACCCACCCCCAACACCCCCCCGGGCTCTCTTCTCCACTGCTGCACTGGGGTGAGTCAGTGGGCCTCAGGGTGATGCAGTGGATCCTGAGCTAGGCCCCCCAAATCAGTCCTTTAGACCCTGTGAGTGTCCTGGGGAGTGTACCAGGTGAAAGGGGCATATCCAGGAAATTGCCTGGCTCTGCAATGGTGCTGCTCACCCCAATTTCCTCTAGACTGTGCATGTACTTGGGAGGCACTTGATGGGGAGGGGGTACTAGGTGAGCCTCTGAAGAAGTGTGATTTCCGTGTTCTCCCCACCACCCAACTCTGGGAAGAGCCCTGGGAGAGCTCCAAGGTCCTAGGCTGGAGGTCCACCAACTCTCAGCACAAGTGTGTGTGCCATAAAATGTAAAGACAGGAAACAAACCCATTATTTGAGCAAACCCGCGATGAATATGCAAGTCTCTGGAATTAATTCGGTAAAGGGCGGATGTACTCAGCAAGTCACTCCAGGGTGTGGGTGAGGGCTGCCCAGAGAATCCCAGGCAGTGGCAGTGGGACCGGCTCCACCTCACTCTTCTGTACTGTTTCCCCCTTCCCTCTCTTCACCTGCCTTGGAGAGTTGCTTGGTCCAAGGCAAAGAGAGCCACCCCGACCCCGGCACGGTTCGTGGACACAGAGAACCGAGGCTACAGAGGCTGCAGCCCACTCAGACTTTATTCAAAGATCGGGAAATGAGGGTGCCCAGAGCGCCAGAGGGCCCCCGGCCAGGGTAGGAATCGCGGAGGCTCCAGCTTAACGGTATTTGGAGGTCAGCACGGTGCTCACACTGGCCAAGAACTTGTCCAGGGAGGCATGGACCGAGGGCGTGAAATCGGCGGGGAGGTGGAGAGCCAGGGTCACCAGCAGGCAGTGGCTCAGGAGCTGCGGAGAGAGGGGGTGTCAGGGGCCGCGGGGTTGGGGGGGGTGCGGCCGTGCTCCACCTCTGGAACCCCACCGCACTCTCTGCCTTGCTAGCTCAGCTCTCTCCCGGCCCGGCCCGCGAGCTCACCTTGAAGTTGACCGGGTCCACACGCAGCTCGTGGGCGTGCAGGTCACTCAGCTCAGACAAGGCATCGGGCAGGTTGTCTATGTGGCCCACGGCTTTGGTCAGCGCGTCGGCCACCTTCTTGCCGTGCCCCTTGATCTGGGCGGAGCCGTGTCCCAGGTCGAAGTGGGAGAAGTAGGTCTTGGTGCTGGGGAAGCTTGTGAACATCCTGAGTGGAGAAGAGGCGGGAGAGCCGGGCTTAGGCCGGTCGGCCCAGGACCAGGATGCGACGGGGCGACCGGCCCCAGTCCCAGCCGGGCAGGTGGGCGGCTCACCTCTCCAGGGCCTCTGCGCCAAATTCTGCACCGTGGTTGCCAACCTTAGCCCACGTGCCCTTGACGTTGGTCTTGTCGGCGGGAGACAGCACCATGGTGGGTTCTCTCTGAGTCTGTGTCAGGACCAGAAGCGTGCAGGGCTGGGAGTGCGCGAGCCTTTATGCCTGGGGCGCGAGGGGCACGCCCCATCGCGGGCGCACTCATTGGCTGGCGCGGGGCCGGGATGCGCCTATGGATCTGGACAGCAGGGGGCGCGCGGCGCAATGTCTGCGCCTGGCTGGGCGGTGGGTGCTTCGCTCCCAGTTTGGGGAGGGACCTGGAGACTCTGGCCAGGGTATTCTCCTTCCCACCGCCTGCTTCCCGCCCGCTACGTCCACCTTCCCCGGAAGTGCTATCCTGGTCCCAGCTGGCAGGGGCCGGTTTGTGGAGCGGGGTGGATGCCCGGTCTTCCACCCTTTAGAACCCCTGAGGGATGGAAGAAGGGAGTAGGTCAGCCCGTCCCACCCACCCTGGACCTAGGCTTGGCACACGCTAGGCATTTTAAATTTCGGCAGAATCAGTGAATGAATGGGCGATTCGGTGCGTCTAGTTCAGGCCAGAGACGGATGCACACAAGACGTGTGCGCATCGCTCACATGTCCTCAACAAATCTCTCCTGGAATCCCTCCGGCTGGGGGGCTCCGGGTTCAAGTTTCTTCTTCCAGGGTGGTAGTTGCTGCACCCCAGCCGTTTTTTTGGGGGGGGGGTGGTGAGCCGCAGGGCATGTGGGATCTTAGTCCCTCGACCAGGGATCGAATCCGTGCACCCTGCACTGGAAGTGCGGCGTCTTAACCACTGAACCGCCAGGGAAGTCCCCACCCCGGCCCTTTTAAGGCAAGATTTGAGGAATATTTCTCAGCTGATGTCTTACATTCACAATATGGGAAGACGTCCCACAAAGATAAAAGGAAAAGACAAATGACTTATGAGAACAATTGACAGAGGATTTTAACAGGAAATTAATGGAAATATCAAAATGACCAACAAATATATGAAGTGAGACAGAGCTGAATGAATTGGCCAGAAGACAGGGAGAGGAGACACAGTTCAGTGAGAAGAGCAGGTTGAAGAAAAATATGCCTAAGGTAGAATGGTGTTTTTGACCAAAAAAAAAAAAAAAAAAAGAAACAGTTGTAGATGTAGCTGTGTCCCCTCAGCACAGGACAGGAGCCAGTGGGGTCAGCCCCAAACTGTGAGCCTTGACTCTTTCTGCGGGGCTTAGGTGGACAGGACAGAGGGATTCTCTCTCTCCCCTGAATCACACAAAAAGGGTGTGCACATGTGTGTGAAAAAAAATATGGGTGGATTTTAATTTAATTCTTCAGTGTTTTTCTATATTTAAATGAAAGCGAATTGGGCTGTGGGGCAGAGGAAGAGTGTGTGGTGGAGAGGGGGAAGCCACTCCCCAGCTGTTCGAAGAGGTCCTTGTCCAGAAAGAAAGTGGTGAGCAGGGGGCCCCACCACCCTCCCCAAACTTTTATCCAGCGCTGGGTGTTGCCCTGAAGATGGGGGCTGGGCTGGAGGTGCTGATAGGGTCCCTAAGGGCTACAGGGTGGGTGGGGTGTGCAAGGTTCCAGCGTGGAGTCCAGGGCACTGATGCGTGGGACGGGGGCCTTTGTGAAGGTTGCTCACAGCACCAAGGCAGAAGTGCCGGGAGACCCCACAAAAAGCCTATTTGTGTGGTTTGTTTGTTTGAATCTAACTGTATCTTTTTTTTTTTTTTTTTTTTTAAGGGCCCATTTATTAATTTTTAAAAAATCACCAACATTTTATGAGAGGCTGAAAGTTGGAGACTGTTACATAGAGGCTGGTATTTAACATAAAATACCCGCACCGGGGCACGAACCCGCGTCCCCTGCATTGGCAGGCGGACTCCCAACCTCTGTGCCACCAAGGAAGCCCCTAACTGTATCTTTAAGGGGGATCAGAGAAACTGCAAAACAGGGTGCCATTTTAGAACTACCCACCTCGGGGAGAGCCCTTGCAAGTCAGAGCTTGGTTCAGCAGCTTGGTCCAAGGCAAAGAGAGCCACCCCGACCCCGGCACGGTTCGTGGACACAGAGAACCGAGGCTACAGAGGCTGCAGCCCACTCAGACTTTATTCAAAGATCGGGAAATGAGGGTGCCCAGAGCGCCAGAGGGCCCCCGGCCAGGGTAGGAATCGCGGAGGCTCCAGCTTAACGGTATTTGGAGGTCAGCACGGTGCTCACACTGGCCAAGAACTTGTCCAGGGAGGCATGGACCGAGGGCGTGAAATCGGCGGGGAGGTGGAGAGCCAGGGTCACCAGCAGGCAGTGGCTCAGGAGCTGCGGAGAGAGGGGGTGTCAGGGGCCGCGGGGTTGGGGGGGGTGCGGCCGTGCTCCACCTCTGGAACCCCACCGCACTCTCTGCCTTGCTAGCTCAGCTCTCTCCCGGCCCGGCCCGCGAGCTCACCTTGAAGTTGACCGGGTCCACACGCAGCTCGTGGGCGTGCAGGTCACTCAGCTCAGACAAGGCATCGGGCAGGTTGTCTATGTGGCCCACGGCTTTGGTCAGCGCGTCGGCCACCTTCTTGCCGTGCCCCTTGATCTGGGCGGAGCCGTGTCCCAGGTCGAAGTGGGAGAAGTAGGTCTTGGTGCTGGGGAAGCTTGTGAACATCCTGAGTGGAGAAGAGGCGGGAGAGCCGGGCTTAGGCCGGTCGGCCCAGGACCAGGATGCGACGGGGCGACCGGCCCCAGTCCCAGCCGGGCAGGTGGGCGGCTCACCTCTCCAGGGCCTCTGCGCCAAATTCTGCACCGTGGTTGCCAACCTTAGCCCACGTGCCCTTGACGTTGGTCTTGTCGGCGGGAGACAGCACCATGGTGGGTTCTCTCTGAGTCTGTGTCAGGACCAGAAGCGTGCAGGGCTGGGAGTGCGCGAGCCTTTATGCCTGGGGTGCGAGGGGCACGCCCGATCGTGCCATGCTCATTGGCTGGCATGGGGCCAGGAGGTGCCAGCCTGGAAAGCTCGGTATCAAGAGGGTGTGGGAGGGCTGGAGTCCCAAGCGGGCCCCACCCAGTCCTGGGGCCCACTCTTTTCCCGCTCCTGTGGGTCTGGGAGCTCACACACGTTTCCGAGCCACGCAAACCCACTGGCACCCGAGTTTGTTCCCAGCTGGCGTAGTCTCGAGGTGTCTATTTGCCAGTCTTGGAGAGGAGCACAGTCTTTTCCGAAGTGAAACAAGCTGCTTTCGCACTAAACTTTTCCCCAGGATAAAGAGCTGTAAACTGCCCATATAAATAATGTGGGTGCAGGATGTAACAGGGGGGAAGTCCTTTAAGCATCGTACCCACAATGGTGGGCAGGCCCTGGCACAGCGCGGGTTAGCAGGTGTTGTCATGGACCGCGGGGGCATTCCACTCAGCCAGAATCAGGGCTTAGCATCCAGCAGCCCCTCCCCACCCCCTGCTTTGGACTTGGTCCCCCACTTCCCAGCCCTGCACAGATGTGAGATTGTCAGTGGGGGAACCATTCTCATTCAGAGTTTGGAGAGCTCTCAGGGTCAGGCTCCTGCATTCGCAAAGGCTCTAAATGGAGCACTAAGATCCCTGCACCAGTGCAGCAGAGGGAAGAGAGATTGACAGGGCGTGTGTGTGTGTGTGTGTGTGTGTGTGTGTGTGTGTGTGTGTGTAAGGGGGGGCGCCATGGCCCAGGGACCCCAGAGACTGAGCGGGGCAGCTGGAGCTGGGGCGGGGTTTGGGTGGCCGTGGGCCTGCCAGGCACCCACCCTGCATTAGGATCTTCTAAATTATTTAAAAGACCCAGCGCGGTTGGGGATTTTCCGTCGGATGCATTAGGCTCAGCTCGCTTAGGGACAAGCCTAGTATCGCACCTCATGTTGACGTGACATGGGTTGTGGCTGTAGAGGTCTTCCTTCCTACCCCCACTCCCTGCCCCAGGAGATTCAGAGGAAGGGACTAACTTGGACCAGGGCAAGGCAACTACAGAGTGAGCGCTGGAAGTAGGGGAGAAGATGGGAAAGAACAGAGATGAGGGTCTGTGGAGCCCTGGGCCACGAAGTCTGTTTGACCTCAGGCCAGGAACTTGCCCCCTAGGCCTCGGTGCCCCGCCTGTCTGTTAAAGAGGCGAAGATTGAGGCTTGCAGTTCCCGGAGGAGTGAGGTAGGGACGGAGATGAATGAGTGTGTGAATGAGGACGTGCTTTGCGAATGGTATGGCACCGCACGGGTGCCAGATGCGAGGTGAAGCCGAAGACCCTTCCCCGATCCGAGCACGCGCTCGGCCCCACCACATTCCCCTGCCCCGGGAGGGCAACTGTTCTGTGCAAGCCTCTGGGTGTACACACCCGGCCCGGACCCCCAGACTGTCAGACCGGGAATTGTCCTCGTTCAGGGTTTGTTGAGTGCCCAAGGTCCCGTTCCTGTGCCCCTGGTTCCATTGTCAGCAAAGGTTGGGGATCCTGCCCTAAGATTCCGCGAGGCTCCCCTCAGGACCCGGAGCTTCTCTGCCCGCAACTGTGACGTCAGTCCGCCTGCTCCCCAAAGACCACACCTGCACGGGGTCCAGCCTTTTGAGGCGTGTTTATTGACATGCACAGACCTAGACCCGGGGCACAGAACTCAGCGGTACTTTTCTGTCAGCACTACCGCCAGGCCCGTCAGGAACTTATCCCACACCACCTGCATCTCCACCGTGAACTCGCCCTGCAGGTGGGAGGCCAGCACCACCTGGAAACACTGGATCAGCAGCTGCGGGAGAAAAGGCGGGTGAGAAGAGCTCTGTCCTCGCCAATTCCTTGCCGAATACTTCCCCACCTCGGCTGAGCGCGCGAACCCTGCTACGTCCCGAGGTGGCTCACTGGGAAGTTGGTGGGGTCCACGCGCAGCACACGTGCGTGCAGGTCGGCAAGCGGGCTCAGGGCCGCGCGCAGGTTGTCCATGTGCCGGACGGCCACTCCCACCGCCTCGAGCACACGTTGTCCGTGGCTCAGCAGCTGCACCTCGTCAGGGGGGTCGCCCAGGTGCTTAAAGTAGGTCTTGGTGCTGGGGTACACCGTGAAGAGCCTGCGGGAGCAAGGGTAAAGAGGGAGGGCGGTCCCTCCAGCGTCTGCGCCGCCCAGACCCCGCGAAACCCCGGTCAGGCCCGCCCCCCTCCCGACTCAGGCCCAACACCCCAGTCTCCGCCTCGCTGCGATTCTGGAGACCCAGCCCCAACCCACCTGAGCAGAAGCTCCGCCCCGAAGAGCGCCTCGTGGCCGGCGATCAGGTCCCAGACCTGTGCTACGTGGGCGCGCTCTTGGGCGCTGAGCATGGCGTTGGCGTGGCGTGCTCTGGGTGCCGCGCCCGCAGTCCCGGCCTCCTTATAGCGGCCCTGCCCCCCGGCGCCCTGCCCGCCCTTATCTTCAGGAGCGCGGCGGGAACCTGGGGACCCTGGTTGCCAACCCAGGTCCCTGTCACCGCATAGGAACTGAATCACGCCGTGTGAGTGTGCCTTGGCTGCAGACTTTAGGGGGATCTACAATTATTCCACAGGGAGTTGATGGAGGGATTGGGAGAAAGAGCGCGGAGGGCCAGGAGGTATCACGGGTCCTCTCAGTGCCTGAGCTGTGACAACAAGCTTTGAGGAAAGGCCCCTGAGTCCCTACACATACCCTACACATACACACAATACGCTGACTGAAGCGACAGACTGGGTGATTTGGGAGGCGGGAAAGAGGCACAAACACAGGTCTGACCCGAGAAAACGGCGTGGGCGGTCCTGGGCTGTTCTGCTCCCTCCGGTCGCGACTCTGGGGTCCTCAGGACCAAGGACCGCCCCCAAAGCACCCTTGGAGTGACCTCCAGGCCGGGGGTGACACTAGGGTCGGCCGTGTTCCTGCGAAGCCCCCATTCCCTCCTTTCATTCTCCTCCGCTTCCCCCAATACTGAGACGCACGACCAGGCTCCCTCCATCCTCATCCATTTATTGGGGGTCTCCGGTGGAATCGTAACAGGGTGCAGGGGAAGGGGAGGGCTCGAAGCCTGCCCTGGGGGTCGGGAGGCATCCTCAGCGGTACTTCTCGGTCAGGACGCGGGACACGATGGACAGGAACTTGTCCCAGGCGGCGTGCGCGTCGGCCGTGAAGTCAGCGGGGAAGTGCGAGGCCACCGTGACCAGCAGGCAGTGGGACAGCAGCTGGGGCGACAGGGTGGCTCAGGGCGGGCGCGGCGCGAGCGACGGGCACCCAGCCCCGTCCCCGGACCCCGCCCCGCCCCGGGCCCCGCCCCGCGCCCACCTTGAAGTTGACCGGGTCCACGCGCAGCACGTAGGCGTGCAGCTCGCTCAGCTTGGAGAGGGCGCCCGCCACGTTGTCGATGCTCTTGACCGCGTCGCCCACGGCGGCCACCACCTTGGAGCCGTGCGCGCGCAGCTGCGCGGAGCCCGCGTGCAGGTCGAAGTGCGGGAAGTAGGTCTTGGTCTGGGGGTAGCTGGAGAAGAGCCTGCGGGCGGGCCGGGCCGGGCCACGTCACGTTTGCACGCGGGAGTTAAAACGTAAGTATTAGGGCAAAAAGTGCAACGTGACCCCAATGTGAACATTTTAAAGACAGACACGATCGGTATCGCGGACTTTAGCTGTTGCCCCGGCTTCAGTATGGCCCGGCCCACCTCACCCTCACCGCCCTGTCCTCCAGTCATTCGTTCCTTCCTTCACTCACTCATTCAGTCAACAATGATTGTGGAGACCTGGGTGCTGGGCGCTGAGGGAGGGACACAATCGACCCTCGTCACCCTCCCCATGGCCCTCCTCTTCCTGCCTGCTGACCGCCGAGCACCCGCCTCACCGCTGCTCGTGCTCACTGAACCTGCATATGTGCCCTCCTCACTGTCCCCTCCTCACTGTCCCCTCCTCACTGACCCTCCTCACTGACGCTCCTCGCTGACCTATCCTCCCTGACCCCTCCTACTGACCCCTGTCCTCAGTGACCCACACTGTCCCCTACCAGGCTCCATCCCAGCCCACCTGGTGCTCACCTCTCCAGGGCCTCGGTGCCGATGATGTCTGCCTGTGTGGAGACCTTGCCCCACATGGACACGATGATGGTCCTCTCAGCCCTGGTCAGAGACATGGTGGTGGCTGAGTGGGAGCTGGGTGTGCTGAGACCTGGCGTCCGTGATGCTCAGCTCCCAGGGTCCCCTTATATACGTGGAGCCAGGGTGGGGGCCAGGCTGTGGTCATCGCTGGGAGAGGGGAGGGGGCCATGGGGGGGGGTCTCTTATCAGATCCAGTGACAGTGGGCAGTCAGGGCCCGGTGGGCCTGGTGGGGTGAGGGGCTATCACTCCAGCTGCCGTTGCTGAGCCTTAGAGGGGGCGTTGGCTGCAGCCTGACCAGACTCCAGGGGAGATAGGGGCCCAGGCAGCCCAGTGCTGGACTGCCCATGTCCGTTTCAGAATCACAAAATGGGAGAAGCCAGAGGAGCAGTGCCCACACACCCTCCTCGGCTAGCCTGTGCCCGTGCTGCCTGCACTGCTCCTCGGTGGGTCCTGTGGCTGGACCCACATGCCAGCATCCCCCCCGCACCCCCCCTCCCCACCAGACACTGGCTCTAGGATCCCTGGGTTTCCTCCAAGAAAGCAATGGTTTTGCCAAGTGGGCCCTGAGGAGGGAGGTACTGACTGGTTCTGTTCCTGAAAAGCTGGAGGAGGTGGCCGGTCAATAAGAGAATCCTAATGTCATGTGCTTTTGGGGACTGCTCTGTTGCTCACCATGTTATAATTTCAACATAATGAGGCAAATATGCCTTTTAATTTTATTTCAACATACAATACAGTTGATTTTTTTTAATATACTGCTCTGTGAATTTTGACATGTGTGTAGATTTGTGTAACCCCACCACAGTCAGGACACACAACAGCTCTATCAGCCCCAAAACTCCCACAGGCTGCCCCTTTGCAGTCTCACCCTCTTCTGTCCCCTAAACCCAGACAACCACTATAATTCTGTCTTTTTCAAGAATATCCTATAAATGGAACCATACGGCATGTCATCTTGTAGGACTGGCTTCTTTTACTTAGAGTAATACCCTTGAGATCCATGCATGTTATTGCCTGTATCAGTAGTTGGCTTCCTTTTATTGCAGAGTAGTACTCCACGGTACTAACGTTCATTCATTCTCCCACTCAAACATGTGGGCTTTTTCCAGTTTGGGGCTATTACTAATAAAGCTGCTATGAACATTCTTGTCTTTATGTGAACATAAGTTTTTATTTCCTCTGGGATGATACCATATCTAGGAGTAGGATTGGTGGTTCATGCGCTAAGTGTATGTTTAACTTTGTAAGAAACCACTAAACTGTTTTCCAGAGTGGCTTTACCGTTTTGCATTCCACTCAGCAATGAAGGGAAGTCCTCGTTTCCGTGCATCTTTGTCAGAATCTTTACATGTTAGTCATTCTGACTGTTGTGAGATAATATATCATTGTGGCTTCAATTTGTGTTTCCCCGATGGCCAGTGATGTGGAGCGTCTTTTCATGGGCTTATTTGCCATCCATGTATTCTCTTATTTATTTATGTATGTATGTATTTATTTATGTATTTATTTATTTATTTTTGGCTGCGTTGGGTCTTCGCTGCTGTGCACAGGCTTTCTCTAGTTGTGGTGAGCAGGGGCTACTCTTCATTGCAGTGCATGGGATTCTCATTGTGGTGGCTTCTCTTGTTGTGGAGCACGGGCTCTAGGCATGCAGGCTTCAGTAGTTGTGGTGCGCAGGCTCAGTAGTTGTGGCGCATGGGCTTAGTTGCTCCGCTGCATGTGGGATCTTCCCGGACCAGGGCTCGAACCTGTGTCCCCTGCATTGGCAGGCAGATTCTTAACCACTGCACCACCAGGGAATTCCCATATATTCTCTTTAGTGAAATATCTCTTCTGGTCTTTTGACCATTTTAAAATTGGGTTGTTTGTTTTCTTATTGTTGAATTTTGAGAGTTCTGTATATATTCTGGATGCAGTCATTTGTCAGATATGCAATTTGCAAATATTTCCTCCTAGTTTGTAGCTTGTCACTTCATCCTCTTAATAGTGTCATTTGTGGAGCCAAAGTTTTATTTTTTATTAATTAATTAATTTATTTTTTTGCGGTACACGGGCCTCTCACTGTTGTGGCCTCTCCCGTTGCGGAGCACAGGCTCCAGACGCACAGGCTCAGCGGCCATGGCTCACAGGCCCAGCCGCTCCGCGGCATGTGGGATCTTCCCGGACTGGGGCACGAACCTGTGTCCCCTGCATCGGCAGGCGCACTCTCAGCCACTGTGCCACCAGGGAAGCCCCAAAGTTTTATTTTTGATGAAGTCTAATTTACCAAGTTTTTCTCTTAAGATTCATGTTTTTAGAGTCATGCCTGAGAATTCTTTGCCTAATCCCAGGTCACAGAGACTTTTATCTATGGTTTCTTCTACATGTTTCATAGTTTATATTTTACACTTAGAGCCATGATCCATTTTGAGATAATTTTTGTATGAAGTGTGAGGTTTATGTCCGGGTTTTTTTTCTTTGCCTATGAGTGTTCAATTTTTCCAGCACCTTTTGTTGAAAACACTATACTTTCTCTATTGAATTGCCTTCTCTAATTCATTTGTAAAAGATTAATTTGACATATTTCTACAGGTCTATTTCTGTACTCTCTATTTTGTTCCATTGATCTATGTGTCTATCCTTCACCAAAATCACATTGTGTTTATTACTGTAAACTTTATGTTCCGTCTTAAAATTAGATCCTGTCCCAAGAATGGGAGAAAACATTTGCAAATCATACATCTGATAAGGGACTGATCCACAATATAAAAAAACTTACAACTGAAAAATAGAGACAAAAAACTAATTGAAAACTGGGCAAAGGACTTTAATAGACAATACTCTAAAGAAAACATACAGATGTCCAATAAGCACATGAAGAGATGCTCAGCATCGTTACTCATTAGGGAAATGCAAATCAAAACCAAAAAGAGCACACTCACTAAGATGGCTATAATCAAATCCCCTAACCCTGAACTCTAACCCTAACCTTACCTACACCTATTAGAATGGCTATATTTAAAAGACAAATAACAAGTGTTGGTGAGGAGGCGGTGAAATTGGAATCTTTAGACACTGCTGGTGGGAATGTAAAATGGTGCAGCTACTGTGGAAGACAGCCTGGCAGCTCCTCAAAAGCTTAAACATAGAGTTCCCATATGACCCAGAAATTCCATTCCTTGGTATATACCCAATAAAATGAAAACATACATCCACTCAAAAACTTGTACTGTGTTCGTAGCACCAATATTTATAATAGCCAAAAAGTGTAAAAAACCCAAATGTCCTTCAACTGATGAATGGGTGAATCAAACATGGTATAATCTATGCAATGGAATAGTATTCCATCATAAAAAGGAAAAAAGTACTGATACATGAATGAACCTTGAAAAAATACATATTGTGGGACTTCCCTGGTGGCACAGTGGTTAAGAATCCACCTGCCAATGCAGGGGACACAGGTTTGATCCCTGGTCTGGGAAGATCCCACATGTCGTGGAGCTAAGCCCATGTGCCACAACTCCTGAGCCTGTGCTCTAGAGCCCATGAGCCACAACTACTGGAGCCTGCACACCCTAAAGCCCACATGCTGCAACTGCTGAGCCTACATGCCACAACTACTGAAGCCCACGTTCTCTAGGGCCCGTGTACTGCAACTACTGAGCCTGAGTGCTGCAACTACTGAAGCCCGCAGGCCTAGAGCCAGTGCTCCACAACAAGAGAAGCCACCACAATGAGAAGCCCACGCACCACAACAAAGAATAGCCCCTACTTGCTGCAACTAGAGAAAGCCTGAATGCGGCAACAAAGACCCACCACAGACAAAAAAAAAAAAAAATTAAAAATACATATTGTATGATTCCATTTATATATATGTCAAGGACAGGCAAATCCTTAGAGACAGAAAGTAGATTAGGTTGTCTGGGGCCGGGGTAGTTGGTGGGTGTGACTGCTAACGCGGATGGGTTTCCTTTTGGGGTGATGAAAACGTTCTAAAATTGTGCTGATGGCTGCATAACTCTCTGAATATACTAAAACCCGCTGAATTGCACACTTTAAATGGGTGGAATATATGGTATGAGAATTTTATCTCAATAAAGGTGTTAAAAGACTGGGTGATGTCATTCCTCCCTCATTATTCTTTTCCAAAATGGTTTTGGTGATTCTGGTTCCTGGAGTTAGTCAAAGAGTTATCTGCACAAAACCCTATTAGACTTTTTACAGAATGGGTAAACGTTTCCCACGTGGAGAGTTCTGATCACAGATATTTTGCTGAACTATTCTTAGAGAAAATTGTGAGGCTCAGACAAGCCCTCTGATTGGAAAATATGTATAAGAATAAGCAAGGATCGAGTACCTTCTGTATGCCAGACACTGTGCTTGGCACGTTATTGTGCCATGATGTTGGTCTCTTCCACGTCCAAGCCGGGCTTGATGGGAGTGTGGAGGTTTGAATGCAGGAGCTGAGTCCAGTGGATACCTCCCCACTGCTGATCAGAGAGGGCGGGGATCTCACCTGGGCTGTTGGTGCCTGTCTGTGGCCTGGAGGTAGAGTCTGCCTTCATGGAAGCCCCTTCCGGGTCTCTCCCTACTTACATTTCACAGCTGTCCCCCTCTTCTCCTGTGACAGGGTCACCCTCTCCCAGGGAGGTGCCCACCCTCCACTGGCCTTAGGCTTGTTGCTACCTCTCCTGGCAGTGCTGACTCCAGGGCCCCAGGTGTTCACAGGGAATGTGGCTTTGCCTCTCTGGGTTCGTTCCAGAATGGGATGAGCCTGGTCCTCACCAGTCACCTCTGGCTGTTGCTTGGTTCAGAAGGAAACTCCAGGGCCATCACCAGCATATGGGCCTTCCATAAGGGTATGTAAGCCTGATCCTGAGGCTTCAGCTCCTAGAAAGGAGAGGTGTCAGCAGGGAGGCAGACAGAGACAGATGGACAGACTGGCAGAGAAAACAGACTGAGTGAGGGAGACGGAGGAGGCTGAGCGCCAGGTGGAAGGTCACGCAGAGGGAGGGAGTCTGAAGGTCCCGAGTGAGGCCGGAGCTGGCCTGCCAGGCGAAGGTATTAAGTCTGCCAGAGGGGGAGGCAC